AAGTCATGGAGGTTGGGTCCATGGAGTGGTATTAGCCAGGGGGTAGGAGTGGTGTTCCTGCCCAAAGTGTGTGGAAGGCTGGAGATGCATGGCACGAGACAAATGGCTTGGTCATTGTCTTCGGTCCATCCCCTCCAGGGTCCCTAGTTTTGGCCGCTGGCGGCAGACAGGCTACTAGGCTAGATGGACCTTTGGTCTGACCCAGTACGGCCGTTCTTATGTAGACATTTATTATAATTGTGTTTACCAGCTCTGATGGAAGAATTAGTCTGATCCTGGATGAAACATGAGAAGCACATCTGACAGTAATATTATAAACAATCAGTGTAGAAGATCTGAGACTGCCACTCATATTGAAGGAGACGTTAGTAGAAACTGTACCTGGATATTAGATCTTTGTCTACAGTAGCATGAATTTTGGTTGGCTATTTCAGGATACATTTTTGGCTGCTTTCTTCCCAAGTCAGAGTGCTATAGCCACTTAAAATGTAGTTGCTGCAATTGTATCCTTGTCCCCTTTTTGCTTGTCTTGTCCATAAGAGCAATCTGACAGCAATCATGTTCTCTGATTGTCAACTGCTGCTTTTTGTTGTTTGCTTTCTAATCCTCTGATTGCCCCTCACAACAGACTATGGCATACTCAGTCCTCACGCGAAGCGCCTCCTTGTCTGTCATGTAGAGGCAATCAGACTTCCCCTCAGAAGTGGGTTAGCCTAGTAGTCTCTCCCAGTATGGGGAGAAAGGGAGAATGGAGCTCAGCCTCTTCTCCTAGAGTTCTTTTCTCCTCTCTTGTAAGTATGAGTGTGTCCGTATGCTTCTCTGTCTCCTCTATATCTTCCCCCTTCCACCTAACAGGAGAGGTTTTTAAAAAGTCTCCAGCAGGCCAAAAGTGGAGTCAGCTGGCTCTCATTGATTCAAGTAGCTCCATTTCAGCTGATCCATACTGCCTAAAGACAGCTTCTTGTCAGCTGTTCCTAACTGGCCCATGCCTTGTTAACAAAGGAGTCTGTTTCCCCTTCCCTCCCCCCCACCTTCTCCCTCCCTTTTTTCCCCACTCTGTTGCAGCCTTCCAACCTGATTTTGTGACAGTCACATTCCTTTTCACTTGTGATTTAAGTCAGCATTTGAATCCCCATAGCTGTAGAGGTAACAATATAATGCATTAACTCACTGTGCCATTTATGCCTTCTCAGTGTGACAGAAATCATGGTAGCCTCAAAGAACCTTAATGGCTCCCTTTGGCTTTTTATTGTGGAGGCTTTAAGTTATCGTGACTCTATAGCAAGGCTGTCAGATTCCTTCCATTTTAACTAGGAGAATGAACATGTCACCAGGGAAGAATTTTGAAGACTTCTAGGATCACTGTGAAAGCCTCTGTGTTTTCATCCTATGTACCCAAGTCGTTACATCAGGAAACAGTGTACCCATAGCTGCCATCTTATTGAGTGTCATAAATTAGGATTTTTCAGTCACCAGCTTTTTTGTGATTCTGAAAATTTTCTGGTTCTGATACAATAGCAAAACTTCATCCAATCAACAAGAGGCCTCTGTAGCTTATCATTGGAGGAGGGATACATCTTACAGTCTCAAAGCTATGGTAATGATGCTGGCAATCTAGGTGGGAAGGCTTTTATGGATTTCCTTACAAGCCTTGGAAATGGGATGAAATGACGCCTGTCATTTTCTTGGGAATTTTTATTAGGCCTTTCACCTAATCTGAGGGAATGTTTGATTTGGATGATGTGAGGCATACATTGCTAGGATGGGGGTGAGGGAAGAAATGCAGGTAGATGTTGTGTGAAGTAAAATGCAGGACTATATAGCACTTTAAAGACTAACAAGATGGTTTATTAGATGATGATTCATTTTTTTTAGATTCATGATTTTAGATGATGATTCATTTTTTTAATTGTATCCTTTGGTATATATGGTTGTGACTATTTTCTTCCGCTATTTGATCTGAGGAAGTGGGTCTGGCCCACGAAAGCTCATCATCTAATAAACCATCTTGTTAGTCTTTAAAGTGATACATAGTCCTGCATTTTGCTTCAGCTACACCAGACTAACATGGCTACATTTCTATTACTATTGTAGATGTTGTGTGTGATACTTTTATATCTAGTCCATAAAAGTTTGAGGAGGCTCTGGCTACAAATGCTTTCTCAAACCCATGGACAAAAAGGCTAATTTTATGTATTTTTCTTTTTGCCCTCCCACAATCAAAGGTCTAAAGATCTTTGATAAAACTGTGGTCTGGCCAAGAAGAAGCTAGGGATTGATCCTGGTGAATCTGTCAGTTTTTCTGCTCTTATCTAATGACAAGTTGTTATCTTTGGGGCATTTCTTTTTCCTTCATCCTGCCTATAGCCTGAAAAAAATCAGAGAAATTTCATGTTGTAGACCTGGTACAAACATTGGAGAGAGTGCTCATTAGGATCCAGAAATTCTGCAGTCTCTTCATGTAAATCAATGGAAGCCAGTGGAGTTACTTTAGACTGACACCAGCCTTAATTCTCATATATGGAAACCCAAAAATGGGTGCAAAACCTTCCAAATGTTGTTCCCCCCCCCCCAGGTGGATTAAGATTTTTAATATCTGAAGAATGTAATTTGTGAAGCCTTTAAAACAACAGATGTTATCTTTGTACATTCATCAGGGACCAGGTCTATCTCCTAGCTAGATGTCTATCTCCTTTCTGGATATTTGCAAAACTAGCGTTGGACTATCATCTGTTTGCACTCTTTTTTGCAGCTTTGGAGAGAATGGTCCAAATTCATTGGTTAAATAGCACATTTCCCATTCCTTTCTTATAGTTTCATATGCAGTTCACATAAAGGTGTAGTTCAGAGAGTGGTAAGCTATTAATTGAATTCTCCTTTTTTCAGCAATAACCCTATAAGCATTTTTTTCCCTTTACTCCTGCATGGTCATTTTAACTCCTGTAATCTCAGGCCAGGTCTAGACTAGACCTGGAACGTTGGGTTGAGGTACGCAACACGAGCTACGTAAAATATGTAGCTGGAGTTGGCTTATCTTAAGCCAGGCTTGGCGCAGTCTTCAGAAGGTTTGCTCCAGTTGGCTTCTCTTACTGCTTGCAAATACCCAGAGTATCGGTGTCAGCCAAAACTGCCCTTAGCATTTGCTTTAGTGGGTCTTAACTAGACCCGCTAAATCAAATGCCAGATCAATCTCTGGCGCAGTAAGTATAGATGTGGCCTCACTGTATTTACTGTAGGCACAGTATGTGTGTGTCACACGCAAACATCCTTCCAATTGACAAAATGGATTTTGGTTATGGGCTATGGGAGGGTCCTTCTTTTTACTGCTAGGTGTTCTAGCCATGTTTGTGTTGGCCACCTTGCTTTTCATGAAAGGTGTTTTGTGATGGAGAGCGATTCAACTAATATACTAATGGTAAGTTATATATTACTTCACCACAGAAGTTGAATCTAAATAACAAAACCACTCTCAGTATTGGGGTATAAAGACTGTTTTAAGTACTAATGGCTGTTTTTGCAGGTTTAGACATCCTTTGACTACATAATTGGTACTATGAGATGTGGTTGGTAAAGACAAATCTATCATTCATTTTGGTGGGAAGGGGGAGGAGCAGGATGTGGGAACTAGCCTTTGACCAGCAGTTTTAAATGGAACTTTTCACAGGAAAACAAAGATTCGTCTTGCCTAGGAAGACATGACCTCCTCAGATTCTTGCCTGCAACCAAGTCATGTGGTTCCAGGATCACTGTGGATTACCTTTCCTTGATTTTGTTTTTTAATGTCTTGTATGTAGAGTCATGCCATCTGCAGTCATGGCAAGTCCTGTCCTTACTATTTCATGCCTTTTGACATTGAAATGGCTGAATCATTGTTAATTTTTTAAACAAATTTTTGATTTTGTTGGTTTCAGTCACTGATTGATCCTTTTTTCACTTCCTTTTCCCCTCTGTCTCTCTGTGCTTCGCTGGACATGGCCCTTAGGGGAGTTCTCAGGTGTGTATCTCTCCTCTTGTTCAGTTTCCTTGTTTTTCATTTTTCTTTATCCTTGTTGAGTTTTAGATTAAATGACATGGTATACACATGATACTCCCCTGCTGCTGTCCAATCAGTTGGCTTTGCAGCCTTTGCCCAGCTTTTCCTTGTTTGGTTGGCTTGCACTGATACGTCCTGATATAATAGAACATCTTTGCTTTATGCTCACGTGCCTGCTACATCTTGATGCATTTTATTTTTTTGTTGTTTTGCTGTGTTTTTGTGTGGCCTTGTACAGGTTCATGCCACTCTTTTAATAGGAATCCTACTACATTTACCCTATAGTGTGGGATGGAAAGTTCTTTTTTTATCAGGCAGAAGCTGTGCCTGATCTTTGTTGAAACCTTGTTGTCCCAGCAAAACATTTTGCAGATGCTGTCTCTGTGCTTCCTATTATGCTGCTTTTGTAAAGAAAGCTCACAACCTTAGGGCCCCATTTTGCCTTCAGAAGAAGTCCCTGGGGGCCCTACACTTGCAGAATTTGCTCCTTGTCTTAACAGTGCACGTAGGGCCTGATCCAGTTCCTATTGAAATGAATGGGAGTCTTTCTCTTGTCTTCAGTGTAAGTTGAATTGGGCCTTAATTGCCTATCAAAGGTAGTGGAGGTGCAGACACAAATGATTTTAGAAGCAGCGCAGACATGCTGATTGACTTCATGTCCCATTGACTTCCTAGGAGTTGAGGAAGGCAGTGCCCCTCAGGATTAGGCCTGCAGATTGCTGAGAGAACTTTGCCAAGGAAAGAGGAAGACACAAAATGCTTTCCTCCTTTTGGTCTGGAGTTTCTTTATCATTCTCTTGCAAAAGACCAAAGGCTAAGATATTTCCCCAGGAAAAGCCCCAGTGAAGTGAGAGGGCATGTGGAATGCTCCAGTATAAGGAAATGAGTGTGACCCTATGTAAAGAAAGGATCTATAAACTATGCATATGAACTATGATTTTCCCCCATTTTAATTTTCCTCTCCTGCTGTTTCCACCTTGCCCTGTCCATGCTGTTTGGTTAGTTATCTTTGTTGAGGGGGAAGGAGACCCAAAGATGCTTCGCTCAGGACAAATGATTAAGATAGAAATGGAACAGGAAAACTGATTGAGCAAGTTCTGATATCTCAAGCTTTAAATCCCTACTAGGCCAAACTCTAGTGAGCAAGAGATGGACTCACTTCTATTGAGTATCACAGTGTAAACCATGCACAGGCACAAGAATATGTATCGCAGTATTACACATCATAAAATGTACCACACGCTCATACACACTAGTGAGCTGCTCTATTGCTGTTTACAAATTTGTATTTAATGGCTGCTTTTTTTCTCTTCCTTTCTTCCTCTCCCCTTTGCCCTACCTCTTTCTGTTTCCCCTTCTCGTATGGGATGGCTCTCATAGTGCGGGATGATTTCTTTGGTAAGGCGAAGGCCATTTTTAAAATGTTTTTTCTTAACGCCTTTTGTCCGCCCAACATCACTTCATGCTTCTTGAGTTCTCTCGGTTTTGGTTTTTGTGGTCGAGGTGTCACCTCTTATAGACAGGAGACTAGCTCAGTTTCTGTGTATTTGGGCTTCTGTTTTTTTCTGGATGTAGTTGATTATCCACTTTGATGCTTCAGACACTGTTTGGATATGAAAGGGTATGTCTACGCTACCCCGCTAGTTTGAACTAGCGGGGTAATGTAGGCATACCGCACTTGCAAATGAAGCCCGGGATTTGAATTTCCCGGGCTTCATTTGCATAAGCGGGGATCCGCCATTTTTAAATCCCCGCTCGTTCAAATCCTGTGCCGCGTGGCTACACGCAGCACGAACTAGGTAGTTCGAACTAGGCTTCCTAGTTCGAACTACCGTTACTCCTCGTG